ACAGGATCTTGAGGAAATTAAATGATTCAAGGTATGTGAAACCAACTTATTGAATTAAAATGACATGGTAGGGCTCATGCAGGAAACACTTGTATTCTTTATCATACTTTGTGGTTCAGGGTAAAATCTTAACCAGCTTCTGTATATTTTTCTGGTTGCTTTCAGGTATTTAATAGTCCTGGCCACTTTCATGAGTGGAAAAAGGGAAGAAAATAGTGGGTTAATATAGGAGGAAATACTACAGTGTCCATTTCTATAACTGGTCATGTGGTCAAAGCTGGTATTTTTAGCTTCCTTCTCTGTTATTCGTTCCATATTCTCATTGTTTTCATCAAACACCTCACCTAATATAGTCACTGAAAGATATATATGTTAATATACTTTACATATACAGAATTAACCTAGGTAGATAAATAATTTTCTGAAACAGAAGAGGTCAAAGTTGTGGGTCTGGGAAGCAAAAATTTTCTGAATGGATCATTAGGAGTAACAATGAGAGGAGCCATTCTCATTTCAACCCTTTGATTTTCCTACTCATGAATCCGAGCTACGGGCGGAGCAGCACTACATATTGGTCACTGATTTGAAAGATGACTTGTTGCTGGTAATCTCTGACTTAGAGGTTCCCTTGACATGGGTGATATCTCCTTCCCCTGGCCACTGAACACACCCTCTTAGCCTCCTGACTTCTGGCAGTCTTTCCCCACCTAGGGCCCCCCTTCCAGACAGCCCTCCTGCGCAGTCCGCATCTGGCCCTTGGAAAACATACAGCCATCTATGCTCCGCTGAACTCTGCAGGTGCAGCTCACTCCCAAGATCGTTCTCAAGATTTACTATCCAGGCTGGCAAGCTAAATACAGCCACTCGCCTTCTGATTATTTTCTCTGTGCCCTGCACTCCAGTCAATTCAAGTCAAGCTCTTGGAGTTCTTTTCTGCAATTTCCCTCATAAGTGGGTTGTAGTAAAAAAGAATCAACACCTAAACCTTCCTCTTGGCTGGTGGAGGAAAAAGTGGCAACTCACTCCAGACAGATCTTCATTATCACTTGCCTTTCAACCTGAACTCTTAGTTTTATCTTATACAGTCAGAGGTGGGTAATGGACTACTACAAATCTGTAGAAATAGTCTAGCATCTTGATTTAGAATGTGGGAATCGTTGAGAATAGTTAATACCTATCTTTCTTTTCCCCACCTTATGGGTCTCTGCCCAGATTTTGAGATGGGAAGACTCCCACTTAATATATTGTCACCTATATAGAGTCTAGCATGGTGCTTGACACATGGTAAACATTCACCAATAGAAGTGATGGGCGCCCAGCCAGTGTGGCTTACTGGTTGAGCATCGACCCATGCACCAAGAGGTTGCCAGTTCTATTCGGGGTCAGGGAACATGCCCAGGTTGTGGGCCAGATCTCCAGTGGGGAGCATGCAGGAATGCAGGAGGCAAGCCAATCGATGTTCTCTTTCATCGATGTTTCTAACTCTCTCTCCCTTTAAAATTAATAAAGAAAAAAAAAAAAAAAGAAGTGATGGTGTTCTTGTGAATCACCTAACATGTAGGTCAATTCAACCTTTGGAGATGGTAGGAATCCTCTTCCCTTAAGAAAGGCTGAAGGGGAGTTTGTAACCTCATGTGAGGCTTGAAAGGCCATTGCCTGGTACTCCTTATGCCCAGTCTACATGTCTATTCCAAATACAATGTTTACAGCCATCTGAGTCCAGTAGCTTCTGTATCCATGCACATACCCAGATCCACACACAGTGACAAATCATTAGCCCAAGAAAATCATGAAGCAACAGCTGCTTACACTCAGGGAAGGGAGAAATGAGCCCTCCCTGTCTGGAGTCCATCTCAGCCACAGCTGGTGGGTGGGAACATGATGGACTTTGTGCAGCCAGTGTGCCCTGGTCTGACGTACAGGCTGGCATCTGTCTTGATTAGTCAGTCACTGTACTGAACTGGGTTTATATTTTTAATTTCAGGTCTTGCTTATGGGCATAGAGATACTCAACTTCACAGACACACAGAAACACCAGCAGCACATGAGCATTCACAATTACATCTTTACACATGGGTGCACGTGCAGTTACTGTAAGTTTAAGTCAAAGTTGCATGAACTTGCAAAATATGTACTGAGCTGATATTAGAAGCATTCATGTGCTTCAAGTCTTTCTCTTTGCCTCTGTCTTAATCTTTATGTCTTCATTTCTTTAGTTGTTAGATCTCACAAATAGCACTGGAAGGGATTAAAGGGGACACAGGCACAGCTGCAAAAAAAAAAAAAAAAAAAAAAAAAATCCCAAACCCAGAAATACAGCATAGAGTCATCATTTTCTAGTCTGTAAGGATGTATTGAGAAAGATTCAATAAAAATGCCAGGGCAAGGTTTAGCAAAGTTTTCTATAAATGGTCCAGTAGTAAATATTTTAGGTCTTGTGGGCCTGATGGTCTCTTTGCAATGACTCATCTCTGCTGTTGTAGCAGGAAGGTAGTCGCAGACGATAATAAGCAGATGAGTATAGGTACATTCCAATAAAACTTGATTTACAAAGTCAGTGGACCAAATTTAGCCCATGGACCTTAGTTTGCAGACCCTCACACTCGGGTCTAAAGAACCCAGAAGCCACCCAGCCCGTGTGGCTTAGTGGTTGGGCGTTGACTCAATCACCAAGAGGTCACCAGTTCGATTTCTGGTCAGGGCACATGTCCAGCTTATGGCCAAATCCCCAGTGGGGGGCCATGCAGGAGGCCGCCAATAGATGTTCTCTCTCATTGATGTTTCTATCTCTATATCTCTCTCTTTCAAATCAATAAAGGAAAAAACAATTTTTTTATAGAACCCAGAAGCCATCAAAACTGGCTTCACAGGTCTTCCCAAGGTTGATAGGGGCTCTATTCTGTCTCTTTCAAAAAGGATAAAAATCAGTTGCTCTGGATGTGGCATCAGTTTTGTTGTAATTATTGTGTGTTATGCTTTGGTGTTTTAATGTTCTTAACTAGTGATCTCAATCCCTCCTTTTTGTCCCTACTTCTCTCTTTCTGTGTAGATAGCTCTAAATCCCACTCTTCTTTGTTCCGTCCCCTTGCACTCACAGGGTTGGGTGATTTGGGAATAAGACTCTCACATCCAGCCTTGCAAAAATCCTGGCTTATTTTCAGCCTCCTCGTCTGTACTGGAGTAAGGAGGCAATGTGCAGTAGTGCAAAAAGCACTTGGCTGGATCCCTGGGCAGGAAATGCCACCAGCTTGCTGTGTGACTTTGAGCAAATCACCTAACCTCTCTGAGCCTCCCTCTCCTCTTCTGTTTAATGAGTTGGCTAACTGGTCTATGTTGTAACCCAGAAGAATCAACCTCACTCGGACACAAAGTAATTTTGAATATTTGGAGCTTTATTACCTGCGCAGGGACTGCAGCCAACCTTCGCAGAGGAGAACTGCAGCCCCCAGCAGACTTTCAGCCCTTTTATAATCAGGGTTAGACAAATGCTAGCTAGCAAGCTGTGACAGAGGTGATGTCAGCGGTTAGCCAGGTGCAATACATATATTTTTAACAGTTACAGTTTTATGGGGTAAAGGGAGCTTCAGTTTCTCCCTATCAGTTTCTTTACAGAGCACGCAGGGCACTCTGGCCTTGGGGCCCTTTCTGTCCTCCCTTTTTCTGAAGGATGTTGCTTTTCAAATTTCAGTGAAGGTCAAATTGGTTCATTTTTATGGGATTAAAGCATTCTATAACAGTCTCTAACATCCCTTCTATCTCTAAGCTTGTAATTTTAGGAAATTGCAACTTCAACTTTAGGCAACTGTTTGGAGCCATTAACTAGGAAGTCACCCACAGCCCTTAATGAAACTGCCCGGAGGTCACAGAAATTAGCCACATGATCTGTAGTTGGCAACCTTCCTAGGGAGGGGGCGGGGAAGCGAGCTAATGTTGGAGAATCTGAGATCCCATCCCACTAAGGGGAGAAAAGGAAGACAGATGACTCCAGGATGCCTGTGCTACAGGAAGATTCATTTGCATTCCTGAGTGCCACTGAAGTTGCTATAAGTGTGCACAAATACTGACATAGTTGGAAACTAGGGGGCTAGCGTTGGGAGATGGGGTGCTTTCCTTTCTCCACCAGACCCTCCTGTGCGGGGCTCACTTTCTTGGTCATGCAAAGGACACCCCTCAAAGCCCACCAAATAAATATCCGGATAGGTCAGGAGGAAATGAAGACTTGGAGGGGTTAAAAACTGAATTCGCAAATATCAGCATTTGCCAAAGCAAAGAGGTCTGTTGAGCAGGAACGAGAGGAGTCAGAGAGGGTCAGGGAGCTTGGACTATGATTGAGGCAGGGGCGGTGGTGGCTGGCAGCTCAGGGGTTGGAGTTTGTGCAGCGGCATCCCCTTCTCTCAGGCTCGTCCCCTAGCCAAGGCCCAGCAGCCTGTGGACACAGCAGATGGGCACTCGGCTGGAGCCCTCTCCCCCTCCCGGACAGTTTCAGGGTGGGGCGGGGAGTGGAGAAGCCCACATCCTGGCCTCCAGGAGAGCAGGCTCTTACTGACTCTGCTAAAGCTGCCTCATTTGTAGCCTAAATAATTCACATCTCTTAAGGAACATTAGAAGAAAAACAATACTGGACGCAGACCTCATGCTCAGGTTCCCCCTGCACTGAAGGCAGCCAGGAGGCTGGGAAGCAGACCTGAGCTGCAGAGATGAGAAATGGCCCAACTTCAAAGGTTCACTGGGATTGGCAATGAACAATAACAGCTTGGGTTTTGTATATACCTCAAGCTAAGAATGGTTTTTACATTTTTATTTTATTTTTTAAAATAAAACAAGAAAAAATAAAATAAACAACACCAAAGAAAAATATATCAGAGACTGTGGCCTGCGAAACCTCAAATATTTATCATTATCATCTGGCCCTTTCCAGGAAGTTTGCTAACCCTGAATCCACTCCCCAGCTCTGAGGGCGATGAGAACCTCTGACCTACTCCTCGCCCAGCCCACCCCACGACCCCACCACGTGCAGAGATTCACAGTTGGCCGAGTGCTGATATTTAAAGTCGAGTGAGAAGCTGCAGCATTGCTCACCCCATTACCCAAACCAGACCAAGAAGATAAAGCCCGGAGGAGGGTGAATAGTCTTGGTTCTACTGCACAGGGTGGGAGGGAGGGAGGGAAAAGCAGGCAGGTATGGAGACTCAGGCCCAACCCATCGTCTAAGGACCAGAATTCAGCATTGTCCAGGTTGGTCCCTGTTGACACCCCTCCCCCCAAGGCCCCCACCAGACTCTGCGATCCTGACCATCCCAGCTGGTCCCAGCAGTCACTGGGGCAGGAATTCTCTTACTGATGAGACATTCAAGCAGCCTGTGTCTCAGTCCCTGAAGCCGGTGTGTCAGCCTGACTATGCCAACCCTCAGTCCTGGACAGGTTCCATCCAGCCCAGCAGGACCTCTGAAGGGCTGACCAGCCTGGGGCCCACCCAGACCCTCGCTTAGAGCCAGAGCCTCTGAGAGTTACAGCCTAAGGATTCTGGAAGAGAGGGGTCGTCAGAGTGGGCTAGGGCTGCCAGCTCAGACTGTCCAGCTGTTACTGGGCTGAGCGACCTCTGGGCTGTCATGGAATCTGTTTGGAATTTTTGGAGCTGAGGGCAGAAGGCAGATCCAGTGGCCCCACGTCCTGATGTGTAGGTATTCGGTATTCTGGATTACTTCACACAGGAGAATAGTGACCTTGGTAAAAGCTCCTGCTGTAGGACCTCCTGAGAAAAATGCTGCTGCTGTCCAGCCAGTTATTCGAAGGTTCCTATTCTAGAGAAAAAGCCCAGGTTGAAATCCCACATCCAGGCCAAGTTAAAAGGTCAGTAGTCTTAGACAATTGGAGGCCCAAGCTGAGAGGCCTCGGGCAAGTTACTTTACTTCTCTGGGACTCAGTTTCCTCAACTATTCAAACAAGCAAACAAACAAACACTCGAGGTGCTTGGACAGCAGTGATTTGAAGGTCCTGTCCATCCCCTACCCCATGAACAGCCCAAACCAGGCCACACCTCTGCAGAAGCTTCGCTGGAAAGTTTGGCTGTATCGCTGCGTTCCTTCCCCAAGTCAAGCCAGGCCCATCCAATGACAGACAGTATGGCACAGGGGTTCGTCTTCCTTCAACATGTTAGCAGCCTGCCTGGGATGTGGATTTACGTGAGGGAGCAAAGTGGTGGGTGGTGAATATGACCTCTTATCTTTGTGCCGTGCCCCGGGGGTGGCTGAAGAGCTGTGGAGTCCCATCCCCCAACCCCCCACCTGCACAGCCTACAGCCCAGAAGCCAGAGTCTGGTACCACACGCTTTAAATGACCTAAATTGTCTTTTGTCAACTCTCCAACTTGACTGGACACTCCTTGAGGGCAGGTATTGTATCTTGACCTTCTGCTGTGTCCCCCAGGAGAGCCCAGCCCACCACTAGGCATGTGGCTGGAGATCTGTCCATATCTGCTGAGCAGCTTAACTGCCCCTAGAAACAGGGATGCTGCCTTCGGCATGGGGCATGTGTCCAGGTAAGTGAACCTCCAAATTTGCTGGCTGATAACTGGATACCATGCTTCAGTCCATGGCTCAGCCAAGCTGTTCTTCCCAGGCCGTGACCCCAAGAGCTATCGTGTCACCTAGAGAGCAAGTGAGGGGAGAAGGTTGGAGAGGGAATGAGTAATCTCAGGATATGCTGGTCACGTAGAGGTCAGCTGCCATCCGTTCCCCCTAAAGCAGTCCAGCCTGGGAGAGCATGGCCAGGTGCCCACCAAACATAAATCAGGCACATCTCACTACAGTGAGCGTCAGGTACTGAAGTTGCAAGCACAGTGATCTGCGGTCTACAAACCCGAACTTGTAAAATAGTGACGGCCCTGTCTGGGTGGCTCAGTCGGTTGGAGTGTCATCCCATACACCAGAAAAGGTTGCAGGTTCGATCCCTGGTTGGGGTGTGTATGGGAGGCAACCCATCAATGTTTCTCATATGGATGTTTCTCTCTCTCTCCCTCCCTCTTTCTCTAAAACCAATTTAAAAACATAGCCTTGGGTGAGGATTAAAAAATAAATAGTGCCCTGTCCGGTTTAGCTCAGAGATTAGAGTGTCGGCTTGCGGTCTGGAGAGACCCGGGTTTGGTTCCCACCAAGGGCACGTACCTCAGTTGCAGTTTGTCCCCGGCCCTGGTTGGTTGTGGGGTGGCAGCCACTCGATGTGTCCCTTTCGCATCGAAGTTTCTCTCTCTCTTCCTCTCTCTCCCTCCCACTCTATCTGAACAAAAAATGGAAAAATGTCCTCGGGTGAAGATAAAAAATAAAAATAAATAAATAGTGACACATGTTATCAGCTCTGTGGAAAGAGTCTCACTTTCCTGGGTCTTAAATATACTCAGAATGGCTGTCTCCTTTGCCTGCCTGCAGATAGGAAGCTCTCCTTTATATCAGCCACACTTTTTCTTGCTGTAGCTCCCTCTGTTCTGTGCTCTCTGAAAATGTTGCTCTCATCAGAACTCCAAAGGCAGCCTTTCTGTCTGTCTGTTTGTTGTTTTGGGGTTTTTTGCTTGTTTGCTATGGGCGAGGAAAGGCAGAAGCAGAGTTCTGGCTTGCCCCACAGTATTGTCATTTGTACAAATGGGAATAACCGAGCTATGCAGCTGCTTACCCATGACACACGGGCTTGCTGATGAGTTAGATAAAATTTTGATTAGCCCCTGCTCTGCGGGGCAGGCAGGGAACCATGCATTCTCCGGGTCACAGCCTGGCAGTGGCAATGCCACTGGAGGAGGGCGCGTGTGAGCTGCAGGGAGCTGGGAATCCCGGGGGAGTGGGAGGGTCTGTGGCGGGGGGCGGGGGGGGGCGGAGTGGCTGCGACAGAGTCCCTCTCAATTATCTAGATAATTGCTTCAACTCTCTACTTCGTTCTTATGGACCTGACATTCTCCAGGAGGCAGACTCACGCCAGGCCGAGGAGGCAACCAAGGCATCTGAAGCGTCAGAAAACTTCCTCCTGAGGACACACGGCTTTTCAAACCCAGAGGCCCCGACTCCAGTCCCCAGAGTCAAGACGGACCTGGGGGCACTGTTGGAGATGCGTCCACATGTTCACAGATCTCACCTTAGGACACTGACATCTCCCAGGGCTCCTGCACCCCCTTCCCCATCCCAGGTGAAGGGGGAGCAGCAGGGGGTGAAGTGTCCACCACTGGTACCTTGGTGGTTTTGACTTTGTGTCCACTGCTGCAGCTCCATCCCGACAGGTCTGGGAGCACTCTGCACTCCTCCCCCTGCAGGCAGGGCTCCATCTGGCACCACCACCTCTGCAGGACCACGGAGGCTGTGGGACAGAAGGCCATGAGGGCGGCGCTAAACTCTCTGGGAGCAGTGTACAGTCAAGGGGGGATCTGTGCAGAACGAAGTGCACGTTTGTACATATCCCCGGCTTCGAGCCCTGCATTTCCCTGTCTTTCTCTGCTTGGGCTGTCCAGAGGCCTGGGCACGGCCGTACCAGCCTCAATCCCACTGGCCCCTGCATCTCACCCTTGACAGTGCGAGGTGAAGGCAGGGGACGCTGTGTCTAAGGCAACCCTCAAGTTGAGCCACCGTGTCATTAGCAGAGAGGCACAGTCCCAACATACCCCTTGGTGTGCGTGATCAAGTGTGCGAGCCGTTTGGAGGGGTCCACAGAGCAGATGTGCACAGCAGGTGGGCCTGTTTATGGTGCTGCCACAGGAGTGTGAGGCAATGAGCATGGGTGGGGTGAAGGGATGCCCGGATGAGGGACTCCTACGTGCCTGTGAGGGGACAGAGAGGAGGGCGTGTGGAGGAGACCCCGAGAAGGTTAAGAGAAGGCAACGTCTGCAGGAGTGAGAGGTAGTCGTGAGTCTGACCGGAGGTGTGCCAGGACCCATGTGCGGGCACAAGGCTGTGTGTGTGCCAGGCAGTGGGTGCCACCCAGAGGGAGGTGTCTCATCTGTGAAGTGGGGTCTCCTTTCCCCAGAGGTTGCCCCATCATTTGAGAGCAGACACGGAAGCCGAGATGGGTAGGAAACTGTACCCCAGCACATGGCCAGGCCCAGACAGACCTTCTTGTCTCTCTGACCAGGCCCTGCCTGCTGGTCCGGCCTCTCACTCACCGTCCACGCAGGAGGGCTGTGCCCGCGTGGTGCCAGCCACCTGGCCGGAAGAGCAAGAGCACTTCACCGTCTGGGAGCGCTCCTCCATGCGGTTCCGGTTGCAGCAGCGATGAGAGGCTGTCACCTCGCAGGTGCCCTGCTTCACGGGGCCTGAAGGGGCCAGCACAGCATCAGGCTGCGACCCTGCTCCCTCCCCCTTCCCCTCCTGCCGCCTAGGGGAGGAGAAAACGGAGGAAATCTTCCTGCTGCTTCAGCGTGTCTGTCCTTCCTTCTTCCCTAGTGGGGCCACACTCATCGCTCTTGGGCAGAAGAAGATGAAGTCCTCGCCAACCCACACCGCCCAGCTTCCTCCAGGAGGGCAGGGACCCTGGGGCTTACAATGCGTGGGAAGGATCATCCGCTTACACAAGCTTTAGCCATCCCAGAAGGAAAACCACAGATTTAGGCCAGGAGGCCAGACTTAAGCCCCAACCTGGGGGCCTCTATCCCTGCAGAACACCTTCCAGCCTGAAAAGGAAGGTGAGCAATGGATCTGCCCATCTTTTAGGGGCTAGGACAGCAGAGGGGGCAGAGTTTCCTGGGTGAAGAACAGAGGAGGAGCCAGAACCCCTTGAATCTGTGAATTTTACTCCACCTCAGAGATCTGCCTGCTGTAGAATGGGCTGGGGTGGTGTCCAGAATCCAGGTATCCTGGGAAACCCCTCCCCAGGTTCCACCACCTCCCCCAAACCTGTGGGAGTTGGAGGCTGCAAGGGAGCCGAGGCCAGGAGGGTCCACAGCCAGACCAGGCAAAGTGCCAGCAGCCAGTCGCCTGTGCCCCAGTTCCGCGGGGTCCTCTTACACATCCTGTGGGGAGAAGTGCACACCTCGCTCCGACTCCAGGCACAACGCCCCGCCCCGCCCCGCCCCAAGCTCTGGGAGGCACAGAGGTGGACAGGGTGCACGCCTTGCCCCCAGGCAGCTCTCAGCCTGGCCCACTCACTGTAGAAAGCAATGAATGCTTTCTTAGCAGAGGGAGCAGGAAGGGAGACTCTCCTGGTGTAAGTGTGTGGAGATGACATTTAGGAGGGGTCTTGAAGGATGAACCAGACATGGTCCCACAGAGGGCTGTGACACGGGGGGAACAATAATGCTGACTCCCGATTTTGGAGCACTTGACCCCAGGCACTTTGCAAACAAGGTCTTGAATCCTTCATGGCTGTTCCACAAAGTGGAATTATTTGTACCAACTGATATGCAAGAAGCCCGGACACAACCTAAACAACCATCACTCAAGGACAGGCTACGTGCTTTGGGGAGCGTTGTACAAATGCAGTCCCGCCCAGGCAGCTGTGAAAAGAACAGGGAAACACTATGTGCCGAGGCCTGCAATGGTCTCTCATAACCCACCATTAAGGGGGAGACAGCAAAGTGCAGGATGGTGTGTATAAATTGTGTAAAAGGGACAGATTAAATGTGTTGCTCAAATATGCATAAGCTGGCTCTGGAAATGTACAAAAAATTCCTAATAACATTAGTTGCCACCAAGAAGGGGAACTGGCGGGTTGGGAGATGAAAAGGTAAAGAGAGACTTACTGTTGTTCCTGTCACTTTTACATTTTGGGTTTTGACCCCTGGGAATGTCCTAGCAATTCAATTTAAACAAATTTAAATTTAAAAAGGAAGACAAGAAACCGAAAATAATAGAAGTCAAATGACTTGCCCAAGGCCAGGCAATGTGTGGGTGGCAAGACCCCAGCCCAGAAGCCTGCCACATTCCCACTGCACAACCTGCTTCTGCTCCCTTCCCCTTTCCTTCTCCTCCTTCATCCTCGATGGGTCGGGCCTCCCAAATCCATCCCAGACAATGGGCTAGAAATGGAGGGAATCCCAGGAAGCGAGGGCACAAACCAGCTGGGAGCTGCTGGGCCCCTGGGGCATCGCTGGGCTCCCTCAGGTTCCAGCACAGTACTGGCAACACCAGAGGCCAGACCAAATGCCAGGACCCAGCTGCTCCCTTGGGTAGGGTGCTGGGTCTCTGTCTGCCCCCTTCTCCCCATCTTCAGCTGTCTCCTCACTCACCTTTTTGAGGAGCGTTCAGCTTCTGTCTGTTCATCCACTGCCTCAGACTCGCTCTCCCTAGACAAGTAGGAAAGATTCTTGGGAGGCTGCAAGGGACAGAGGGGGCACATGGCCCTGTAAGGGACAAAGGGGGGCCTGGGTGAGGGCAGAGGGGATGGCTAAGCAGAGCCCAATTTTGAGGCTGTCCCCAAGGTGCCAGGGCAGGGGGTAGTCTCTCCTCTGCCCTGGGAATTTGCAGGAACTTGCAGATTCTGGGAACACGTAGGGTGATAAGCCTGAGCAGAGTAGCTGAGGGAGTTTCTCTGTCCCAGGAGGAAAGCAGGGCTGATAGTAGGAGATGTCTAAGACACAACCCTGTCACCTGTCTGGCCTTGGGAGGCAGCTGAAGGCCAGGGCAGGGGTCCTACGCAGAATCTGACAGGATGCTGCTCAGAGCACCTGGGGCAGACGCCTGTGGTCCTGAATCTTCTTTGCCTCCACCTCTTGTCCCCCTCATACCTGCTTCCTGGACTCACATGGAGATGGTTCAACTGTCACCCCCATTCCCACTCCAGGGGGGCTAGAGTGGGGGTCCTCTAACTCTCTGGGCCTCAGGGGCCCCAGCCCCAACAGCTTCTCCATTTCCTCCTAAGACCTCTCCTCCTCAGCCTCCAAGGGGAGATGGACTGAGGCAGGTAGGATGATGTGGCCCAGGAAGAATCAAGACCTCTGTGTCGTAGGTCCCTGGAGTGAGAACCCAGAGAAGACCGAAGTGGAAGAGGGAGGAAGTGGTGCTGATACCCTGGGGAACAGTGCCCTGTGGGCAGAGTTTCCCTCCCTTCTAGATGGGCCTCTCTGAGAGGGCATCTCCCCTCCCGTCCCTGTCAAGAACCTTGTTTCATCATTACAAATGCAGCTTTGTCTTCTCGCAGTCAGTCCGAATGCCATTCCTCTCTGAGCTGCCATACCCTCCAACCCAACTCTCCCCTCCAACCCAACCCTCCTGTCTCTCCTATGAACCCCAAGACCGCAAAGACCTGGGGGGAGGCATTAGGCTGGGTTTTCTAGCATTCTGTTCTCTCCCTCAAAGAGAGCTGGAGAGAGAAGCTTCTGGGTTTGTTCTCGGGCTTCCACCCTCCTGCCTCAGTTTCCCAACCCGTTTCCCCCACCCCCGAACCAGGCTATGGTGAGGCTGAGTTAGCAGCCCATATACCACCATGAGGTTGAGGAGTGAACCACAGAAGCTTTAACCTTCCCCTACCCCCCCTTCCTCTGTCCCCGTGCCCATTCAGTCCTCCAAATTTTCCAAATTCTGAGCCCCCATCTCACCTACCTGTCCCATGGCGGTGCCACTGGTCCTACCCGCGGGGCTGAGGTTCTCTTCGCTCCTGGGGGGGACCAAGACTCCAAGACTGCGACTTCCGGCGGGAGCGGCCAGCTCAATGCTCTTTAGTCCTGAGCCCTGTGACCCTCCCCAAGTTGCTGCGTCCCTAAGGCGGCGGGGCTCTGGCCGAACTGGCATTACCGTCTCGTCGGGCCCCGCTCTGCCCACGAGAGCTCTGGGCCCGCCCGGCCAGCTCGGCGGAGCTCAGCCGGGGTCCCTCCGAGGCTCCCGCCCGCGGCCCGGGAGCGCGCAGCCGCCGCCGGCGTGTCTTCCTCGCCGGGCCCGGGTCCGCCAGCCCCCAGCGGCGCCTCCTCCGGGACCGCGCGGGACGCAGCGCACAGCTCGGTCCAGCGGGCGTCGGGCGCAGCCGGGCGCAGCGGCCCCTGGCGGTTGGATAAGGGTGAACATCTCTCAGCAGGCCGCGGTCACTCAGAGATCCCTCAAAACTCTCCAGGTATTGGGGCTTCCAGGGGTGGGGGCTCTGAGTGTGAGGAGTGACTGCGCAGACCCTCAGGGCTTTTGAACCTGAAGATTCTAGAACTGCACTGTCTCATACGGTGTCCAATAACCGTTATGTGGTTTTTTAATGTAAATAGAAATCAGACTGGCCCATGTGGCTCAGTGGTTGAGCGTGGGCCCATGTACCAAGAGATCCACGGATGATTCCCAGTCAGGACACATGCCCAGGTTGTGGGTCCCGTCCCCAGTGGGGGGCATGCAGGAGACGGCCAATGGATGTTCTCTCTTATCAATGTTTCTATCTCTCTCCCCTCTCACTCCCTCTCTCTCTAAAATTAATAAAAGGAAATTTTTTTTTAATGTAAATGAGATCAAATAAAATTTTTAAATTGAGGTTCTCATTTGCAGTCACCAAATTTCAAGTGCTCAATAGCCACATGTAGCTAGATCGAGGGTCTACTGGATTAGGCACAAAAGATAGAGACTATTCCCACCATTGCACAAAATTCTACTTGACAATGCTCTTCTAGGTTGATATGTGAGCCCCCTGTTAACTGTCAAAATCCAGGAGGGAGAGCAAATGCTGTCCTCAGGGGTGGGAAGGACCAGGGGAGGTATGAGGGCAGAGGCAGGGCAGGCAGGAGAGCTGCAATAGGCTGGTCCCCATGGATAAGGGATGTGAACACCAACTTGGGAACCAAACTCTGAGACCCAGTTTCTTCATCATAAAAACTGCAACATAATTGCAATTTTATAATTCTTTACAGGGTAAGATTTTGGATGTGCAAGTATTAGACAAATGAGAGAAGGTGGTGGTCTGTGAATTTGTCTTTTAGGAAGAGGGACAACCCTCTTAGGTTAAGAGGGCTTTGGGTTGGGGTAATGGAGAGGGGCGAGGCAAGGGGAAGAAGCCCAGTTCTGAGGTCTGAGCCATTGCATGTAGCCTGGATAAAGGGGCCTGTCTCTAGGACGCCCAATCTCCTCCCTAGCTGAGGCCTGGCACCGAGTCCCACTTCTAAACAGAGGAGAATATCTCACAGGTCTGCTTTTCACACCTCACCCCGCCTCCTTTCTTCCTTCTTACTCTCTGCTGCCGCAGGGAGGAGGAGAGATAGATGATGGCCTCACCAGGTTCTGGGGCAGTCTGAGGATGGAAGAGGTGTGATGATGCCAAGACCAAGAGGTAAATGATTCAGGCAGTAGAGAGCCTTAGGGTTGGGGTATGGTCAGCAGGCTGTTCTGGAACCCAAGCGAGTTGTTGACATCCTGCTGACCATCTGGTGCTGGAACTAGGGATCTCTGAGCCCTGGCTCTGTGGCCCACATGCAGCCACACCCTGCTGGGTGCTGTAAAAAGCGGGGATTAAGGAGCTCAGTGACACAGAGAAGTGGTAAGTAAACTGTCCCAGAAACACTGAATAATAAAAATAGCCAGGCTGTTATATTTTTTTCTTCAGTCTTTGGCTTGCTGCTTATGCCATTGATCTGAGCACTGGTTCCAGTTTTTCTCAAACAGAAAAGAAGTACCCATAGCAGTAGTATGTTCTTTATCCACATGTCTACCTATGCCACTCTATGTGCCTTTTGACTGATTTTCTTTTTTTCTTCTGACTTCTTTTTCTTTGGTTCTCTCTGGCCAGAGTGCAGGCATAATTACAAAAAGTCTAAAAACCTGGATGACTATTATGAGATTTTTTATTTGGAAGCTACCAGGAAAGCCACCCTTCTGAGGACACAGTTTAGCCGCCGAGCAGAAAGGATTATTATCAGGAAGCACACTGCCCACAAAGCCTAGAGATGGAGTCCCAACCGTGAACTGGGTACCAGTGGTCCCTCAGAACTACCCTTGATTTGCATTACTGCCACAAAGGCCTTGTCCTCATTTGGACCGTGTCTCTGGAGGCCTGGTGATCAACTCCTTGATACCACTGTCCGCTTCCCAGACAGGAAGCTTAGCCTGGCCTCTGTCTCCCCCTGGCGGCAGACATAGAGCTTGTTCAACACCCCCAGACCGCTCTCAGCCTCTGCCTTAAGAGGAAGAGGAAGGAGGATGGGAAAGGAAGAACCGCGACTCTTCTACAATTCAACTCCCTCTTAACCCTTCCTCCCCGATCCCGATGGATCAGTGTGGTTCCTAAGACAGAATCCTTTGGGCGTCCAGGGACTGACATGGATATGAATCTTTCATTGGCTGTGTGAACTCTTAGGGCAAGCCATGTAAAATGACAGGAAAGTCATCGGTAAAAAAATTAATAAAACCGACTTTGAAGGGTTGGTGTGTGGTATAATGGCCTAATATGTGTAAAGTATTTTGTAGAGGGCCTACTAAGTAGTAAGTCCTCAATATGGTAGTTATTGTTATCCTCACTAATTGTTGCTGTGGTCAGAGGTCTAAATGGGGGTGGGGGCCGAGCTCGGGTCCTGAGGAAGAAGGCGGAGCAGGAGGGGCGGCCGCTCTCCCTGATAGAGGTGGTCTTCACGGAGAACCTGCAGCTCCCCAGCTCAGGACGGTCCGCTCCGGCCTGCTTGGTCATCACCCCACATCACAGCCAGCGCCAGCTCGCTCGCCCTCACCCCAGCAGCCCCAGCCAGAGGTGGTGTCACACCACGTGCTTCACATCCTGTGGTCCCCGAGGCGGCTAGCTTCGCTCCGAGGTCGTCAGCCCCATCAGCCGCCGGGCAGGCCGGCCGCACGAACCGAGGGCTAGGAGACACCACCCTCCCGTCACAATGGGGAGGTTCTAGCTGATGTCTAATCTAGAGCACAGCTGAACCAGGGTTTCCTTCCCTCCGTCCCCTCCTCACAACAGCACACCGACCCTTCCCCCCAGGAGACGGAGGCGGGGCGAAGGCGTCCAGGGCGGGAAGAGGCTTCAGCCGGGGAGGCGGTTCCAGGAGCGAGCACCGCCCACCGCGAGCCCAGGGGGCGGGGCCACGGCCGAGGGCGGGGCCGTGAGGCAGCATGCTAAACCGGGTGCGCTCAGCCGTGGCGCACCTGGTGAGCTCCGGGGGCGCCCCGCCCCCGCGCCCCAAGTCTCCAGACCAGCCCAATGCGACCTCCGCGCTGCCTGTCACCCCTCCAGAAGCGCCCAGGAGTCCGGCGAAGGCTGGGAGCGGGGGCGCGGCGCCCGCAAAGACAGCAGAGGCTAGAGCGAGCTTCTCCCGACCGACCTTTCTGCAGCTGAGCCCGGGGGGGCTGCGTCGCGCCGATGACCACGCTGGCCGGACTGTGCAAAGTCCCCCGGACACCGGCCGTCGCCTGCCCTGGAGAACGGGCTACGCCGAGTGAGCATCTCTGGGGGCACCCTAATTAGGATGGGAGTCCCACCTCCATCCCCCTCTGCACTTCGGCATCCCGGGAGCTGGGGTGCGTCCCCCCAGCCGTGCTTAGCGCCAGCAGCTCCCTTTTCCCAGATCCCTTGCCTCTTCCCAGACCTTTCTCCAGTCGGTGCAGCCTTCCTCGGGATCTTCCAGGTCGCTGACTCCCCTCACCCGCGCCGCCTCAGACACCTTGTTCTCTGCTAGAACCCAAAGGGTGGAGGCCTCGCGAAGGATGAGTTGGCCGGTTCTCAGTCGCGGCCCGGCCGTTTAATGGCTAAGGGAGGAAATGTTTCAAGTACCGGAGTCTCTTTTAATAGAGATGGCGGCTGGGAAGACTTGCTCCGGGACTTCCCGACCCCCGCGCCCCAGTTCCCTGTCCCTCTTATGGTTCCCCTCCCCCTCCACACCCAGAAATAGCTCGCGACACCTGGCAGCCGCGGCTTCCCCTGGGGCGGGGGCGGGAGCCGCCGGGGGAAGCGGGGGGTCCCTTCTGAACGCCCCTCGGCTGCTGGACTTGCGCACACCAAGCAAGGAAGTGGACCCCCGTGGGAGCAGTCCGCTTGCTCCCAGGCGATGCGTATTTTTAATGCCTGTGCTGAGAAAGCGGAGCACTGAGGGAGATGGGGGCGCTGATTTCGCCGAGGGTGGTGGCTGGGGAGCCCGTGAACACCCCACCAGCTCTTTAGCTTCCTATTTTGGAAGAGTGAGTTGTTACAGGACTCTTGCGCAGTCCAGGTGGTCTTCCGCACCTATTTCAATTCCTCTTTCCCGATCTGGGCTGGAGCACTTCCTCCTTGCCAAAGCGCAGAAACTTCCACTGAGTGGTTTTAGAATAAGGGTGGGTGTGCCCATGAGGGTGGGGTGCTGTGGACAAGGCACTAGAAGAATTGACTGGGTTTCAGGATGGGAGGTAGGGTCTTGACAAGCAGGGAAATAAAACCTCTTGCCCCTAACAGGCCCCTCTCCTGCAACACCTTTAGGGATGCCTGCTTAGCCAGGGATGGGGACCTGAGGCAGACAGGTGCTCCTGGCCGTTCTGTGAGGTGCTGGGGCCTGACACCCAGACAGAACGCCCTGGGCCTGGCCCTGCCTCCCTTCTCCTCCTCACTCTGGCCTGGATCCCAGGTGGCTGTGACCTTTCTCAGCTTGGCCAGCAGGCCAGAGAGAGTGTGTATGTCTAAGGTGGGGGTTATTCCAGGACCTGGTCTGGTGTCCAACCTGATGTGGTCACTCTGGCCTGGCAGGGTCATCAATGCTGGCAAGAGCCGGCACAATGAGGACCAGGCTTGCTGTGAAGTGGTGTATGTGGAAGGTCGGAGGAGTGTTTCAGGGGCACCTAGGGAGCCTAGCTCAGGCCAGGTAAGCCTCCAACCCCCTTCCTAGCCTCCAGAGACAGGGTGATACCTCTGCCCAGAGATTCGAGATATC